ACAAAGTTCAAATATATTCCACGATTGTTCCCATTGCGTTTCTAGTATTAGGAATTTTTACTTATCAGTAAAATAGGTGTCCATATGGCTTCAAATATATATTAAATATTTGAATTTCATAATTATAATCAATGGGAATGTTACTAACTACTGTTTGTTCAATGAATATGAACTTGTGTGGCAATATATAATGCAATTAAGTTGATAAGATATTTTCTTTATTGGCGCCAGCGTGGCTGCTATTGATTAATAATTTGCGAAGCAATAAATTTTGCTTTAATCTATAATTTCTATATGTCTGATTAGTTTCTAGTATGAAAACTCCGATTATTAAATACATTATACTCATTCAGATAAATTAATTCACTCTAATGTTATTTATTAATCGGCATTGTTATTGCTTGATTATAATTGGATAGATATTTTCTAAATGAACTTCCAATTAGAAAAAAGATTTATCATTCTAATGATGTTATTTTTACTAGAGCATTCGATTGGTAAATTTAGGATAGTTTTTCCAATTGAGATGCGATTGGTATTTGTATTTATATTTATTATAAATACATATATCGTATTAAATGACACTTTATCAGTCAAATCACATAAAACAGCTGTTAATTTCAGGGTAATCTTGCTACTCTGGCAAAATATCTAGAGTGTTATAAATTAATCTTGAGTGTTATATATTTTGCCACCGATTTACCAATCGAAAACAAAAATTGAACTAAAAGTGCATTAAAAAGGCATCCTAACTGAAAAAATTACCACAGATTTACCAATCGAAAACGCCATTACTCAAGTCTGGCGCGGACTACACACGTTATGTGTTATAAACATAGCTTTTAACGCTTTAATTTTATCTTAAATACTCTTTAGAGTTATAAAAAAAATTACACATATTTACTGTTAATATATTAATATATTTTATATGTACAAAGATTTGTACTTACATATTATGGATCGTATATCATCCATTACTTTTAACAAAAGTTATTTCCTGAAATTTGTATTGTTATATTATTTATTATTTACAATCACTTTACTTTCCTTGTTCTTGATATTATCTGGTTTTTACTGTATTTGTTTCCTGTGGAAAAATACAAATTTGCTGACCATTTATAACTCTCACTTTCGAAATTATATAGTATATTAATTAGTGATTTATTTCAATAATACCAACACGGCATAACATTTAGTTAATTAACTCAAATTTGTTCACATATTCATCTCATGTGGTAATAGAACAGTGGATATTTTTCAACACATAATAATAAAAAGGTATTCTATACATAGTAAATATTATATATATCTTTCATATATAAGAAGTATGTTTAAGTGTTCTTTATTGTTTGAAACATATAGTTTATATATGTTGGACTATTTGGATATTCGGATTGAAAAAATGGATTTGTATATAAAATAAATAATAAATAATAAATATAAAGAAGTTAAAGTCTTCAAATAACTTTATATATAGTCCCTAGAAAAAGCATGTTAGTGTTTTTTATTAATTTACATTGTTGTTTCTAGTATTCTTGTGCTTTCCAACTAACGCAGATCTCAACTCAACTCAAATGTATTCAACACGCAGTGAATGTAAGCGTCAACGGCAGCAATAATAGTTTTAGCATACAAAAATAATGATTTAAAGTTTATACATATTTCTAGAAAATTTCTATATAAAAATAGAACAAAAAAGAAAATAGTTGTTAACTAGAAGAAAATTTTTTTTTAAAACTGGAAAGTCGTATTAAATCATTCGTTTACGAAACAAGACCCAGAAGCCGAATTTTTCACTCTAATGAAATAATATGCTGTCGTTACTGCGGAGAGTATATAATAAGACGCCAAATAAACTGCAAGTCAAAACAATCTCTCAAGTTATTAAATGACTTAATAGGGATTTCGGTTATTAAAAAGTAATCATCGTAATATTATGTTTCCACTGCAGTTAAAATTACTTATGTTAATAAAAAAATACAATTTGGTCGTTTCCATTGGGATCAGTTAATTTATGTAGGTGAAATAATTTGTTTGTTTACATGGTGCAAATAAAACATATGACAAATACTTCAAATTTTGATCACTTCCATTGTGGGGAATTTATTTTTAAAGGCTGCATTCGACATTTTTGCCTTAAATCAGTTAATCTTTTAATAATGACCTTATTTATATGAAAGCACTTTATCACGTAAGTTATCCTCATTAGTGGCCTTAAAGAGCAAAACTGCCTAAATATGACTGTAGAAATATGGTATAAGGTAACTGTAAACAACAAGTACAAAATATAAAAGACTAAACTGTAATACTGCTGCTTTAATTTTTATTTATATAAATTACCAAGTATCAGTTATAAATAGTAGACAATTAAATATAAATTAAATTAATAACTGATTCATTTTAAATCATATATTCTAAAACATTTACATTTATAGCTCTCGCTACTTATAGAAAACAGACGCGAAAACTTCTAATTTATTTATAATGATATAATTTGATAATTAAATAAAAATATTAAAAACGTAAATAATAAATTAAAATATATCATTTTGAAAATTGACATTCACTCACTTAAGTATAAAATTAGGTCCAATTAGAAGTAGTACTTTGCCATTATTTTATTATATTGTAAAAATTTTCAATATCTCTTAAAGGTCATAATAATAATTGAATATT